ACACCCTGCTATATGTAAACAGAGAGGTCAGGCCTCGTGCTGACGTCACTAACCTGTCATTCCTGGCTAACATTGTAGAATAGGGATCTGGCTATCCTTGTAGTATATAGTCCTTGGGTAACATTAACCAATTTTTCTTTTATCTTCCGGATTCATCAGCCTGTCTTTTTTGTAAGTGTGATACCTTACCAACTCTAAAAGCCTTCTTAACATTTACATCAGAAACTTTTAAAGTGTCTTTAAAATTAAACAAATTTTGCACCAAAACTACAGAATCCTCATCACTTCATTATCTGCAAGACCAGAAATCGCTATGTTATTTCTTCTTTCTTTATCTTCCAACTTTGACAGTCTCTAAAATAAGTCTGGACAACACATTTTTTCTGTTTTCGAATGACTTACTATTGTTTAAACTTTTTCTTGTCCTCTTCAAATACCGAGAACCGAAACTCCAATCGTACAAATGCCGTATTGATGTTTTCTACACATGCCTGGATATTCGACAGTCGTTCCACAGGAATTATTGTAATTTATGATTAGAAGGAATTTAAGCAAAAAACGAATACCTTCTTCCTGAATATTAATTTCTTTTATAGCTTAAATATATGAAAGAATCAATTGTTCCGCCAGATCACTTCGTCTTCATTCTGAGATCTCATTCTTACATTTCTAGCAGATAAATCTTGAGAAACTAGAGAGAAATTTATTCTAGGAAATGTATAAGTCATAAGTTCCAGAAAGGAAAAAAAATCACTAAAATAGATCAAAAATTAAATCTGTTAATTTTCTTCACCAGACAGCGCCCCCAAAACTATTCTTTCAATAAAGTACAGTACCTTTTTCTTTTCCTACATTTAAAATTATTTTTGTCACTGGCAGAGTAGAAACGCATATCCTGGAAGAGTCCCAGTATTTTTCGGAAAAAACTCATTTTATCCCCAAGTACGTGGCAACTCTGCACTTTGCGGCTCTTTTCTTTGACTTATCAGAGCTACCAGCATCACTATCCTTGAGCCATGTTTGAGAAGTAATTAGGATAAATAAAACAAGGAGAAACACTGATACAAAACAAAATGAATCTTTTCCAGAATGAGAATGAATGTGACTGAGCGAGATTTTACGAGACTTCGCGCACCTTAAAAATGGCGCCGATTTAGCGGGCAATTAAAAATTTTTATTTTACATACAGCACAGCATCGATTATCCGACCCCCCGATTAACCGTCACCTCGGTTAACCGACCGTTCAAGTCGGCAAATTTCAAATGTCCGCTAGTGATGTGGCGCTACAATATTTGGCTATGTCTTGGCTACTTTAATATTATTTTTGTTAAATTTTTGCGTGTTTTAGCTGGTAACACTGGCTCGACCATGAAAGGGAGGACAGTACTGTATTTAAACGAGACTTAATTTTCTAATTATGAGTGGTTGTTTGTTTTGTGAGCAATAAAATAATTTAAAAATAATTTTTAACGATACAATAGCGACGATTATTATTTTTTAAAAAATTTGTTATGCTTAACATTCAACGCGAAGTTGGTTAATAGCGATATACCAATATACTAATTACATGGGATATACTAATATACTATACTAATAATGCATTTTTTTTCGGTTATCCGATTTTTTCAGTTATCCGACCAACCTGAGTCCCCAATTGAGTCGGATAATCGATGCTCTACTGTATTTTTCATGTTTTTTTGGATTGCCAATAGCGTAAACCCGAAACCATCTAAGGCGGCCTACTGTATATCTATGTGATGAACAGACAGTACATAATAATCATATAATATTAAATTAACTAAACAATTAAAATTATAAAATCAATAATGGGAAATTGTGTACTAATTCTATATAATTTAATATTAAGTAACATAATAATAAAATCCGCTAAATTTTATAAATATAAATGTAATTTTTACATTAATATTTTACTTCTTGTGCTTCAGAAATGCATAAATTGTCGAATATACAAAAATTAAATGATTTAGAAAAATTTTTGAAAATAATCTAATCGTTTGAATTGTCATCCTAAATAATTGTAATTTGAATAATTCAGAATCATTATGAATAAACAAAAACATTAAAAAATGTCAAGTTCATTGCAAATAAATATTTTCCATTGTTTCTTATTTTGTACATCAAGAAATTTGAGTTTATAATAGAATAAAGCATTTCATTTACAATACAAATTACTTTCGTTTTATAATCGGGTCCTATATGTGTCGGTTACGTCCATATAAAGTTATCTTTTATATAATATGAAAACAGCATTTAATTAATATATGAGAATCAAATTAATAAATTCATAGCGTAAAGCAGGCTTTCGGAAGATCCGTGAGAGTATATGCAATAGATGCTTTTGTATACTTGATCACCAGCCATCTTGTTTGATATTTTTGCAAGTAATACCACGTATAGGTTGCCGGCATATGTAACGCCCGACTGATAGCAAAAGCATACACTTATGTGGGCGGCCGCTGATTCGTTATGACCAATTACAATGAATGTTACGAATCGAAACACCGATTAATCATTGTAAATTTTTGTAATTTAAAAAAATATCTTTGATTTCTGCCGGACTATGACCGGATTCACGAAAGTGTCGTTAGTTAAAACACCGTATTCTTGCGATGTTAAATACGATGGTAAACCGTATCAGCAATTCACTAAGCTCATAGTAACCCGATTTTCTTTTTACGACAAAATATTCAGTGATCTGATTTCGAGAGTATATTGTTTTTCGTCCAATAGGAATATAGTCCGGGAACTTTGAAAATGTCGCATGTTTTCTCCTACGTAAGTTTTGGCGATAAAGTGGAAGAGAGAAAAAAGAAGGCATCATTTTACTCCAAAATATAGGCATTGATAGATGAAGTCGAAAAAAGAAAAAAGTAATAGAAGGAAGAATAGATCAAACTGTTATGTCTCGCTTAATAGGTAATTGTTGGAGATTGGTTTGCGAAGTGAATTCTCATTTTTTACCGGATGCTCGCCCTCTGGTGTTTAACACCAAAACTATTTTATCTGGGTCACTTGGATCATTCTTGTGTACTTTTTTTTAAACTCTTTTCGCCCTGTGGGCACTAGGAGGGCCTCTTTTTGCAAGCCCATTATTTTTTCGACCCATTCGGATTCGAGCCCGGGTCCCCCAGAGCGGTAGGCTGCCACCTTGACCGCTCGGCCATCCGGCCGCATATTTAGGATTTAATTATTTCAGTCGAAGCGGTAGGCTGCCACCTTGACCGCTCGGCCATCCGGCCGCTATTATTATGTACTGTCAACAGTAAAGATGAATAGCAATAGAAAAAGCAATTCTTTCTGTTGCGTCCAAATTGCAATTTCAAAGCCATATGGGAGCCAATATACGTTTTCGTCTATTCCCACATGAAAAACGGATTATTATTCGGAAATAAGAATTCGGAGCTGATAAATATAACCGACAGAAAGAGTGGATTCGACTGTTTATGAATTGGCAAAAAAGTTTTCCGATTGTCCAGCTTTATATGAACAAGTTATGCTGTCAGTTTCATAGGATTTTTCCTTAAAGTTTTTAAAATGTTAGTAATTTTGTCGGACACACAAAGCCTGATTTAAGCATTTCTAGGCTTTAAAGCTGAACTCTGTATCAGGCCCTTTACCAACCCTTCACATTTTTAAAAGTTAATCATAAAAAGAAAATAATTAACATAAACATATTAACTACTTTTTATTTTGTGTAGTATTTAAAGTATGTTTTGTTGGTTTGTAAAAAAATTATATTATAAAATTTGACTTCAAATTTTTTTTTTGAGGCCCCTTGAAACTCGATGCTCTAAGTAAAAGATAACATAGCTTTCCTGTAAATACGGACCTGATGGGACAAATATCAAAGTTAATGTTAATTTAACGGAAAAAGCACAAATGTATAGAACGATCTCGCTCATTTGTTTCTATACCACATGTAATGACATGTCCCGCTAGCAATAATTGTTCTCCCATAAAAGTTCTCGATAAACAGCTGCAAGCAGCATAATACAAATGTTTTCATTTGCATGAAAACATTATATATATATATATAGAAGGTGTTTCATAAATGTTTGGCCAAATTTTAAACTTTTTACTTCACAACGTTTGAATAAATCAAGTTAAAATGTCTTCAGATAAAAATTATATCGGGCATATTATGCTTTATGAGTTTTGGAAAGATTATAACACCGTACAAACAGTAAAAATAAAAAAATCGTACTATATATGAGGAAGATGCTCCTAAACTTCGAACATGACAGATGTAGTTTCAAAAGTATCGGTTAAGAAATATACTAGATCGCGGGGTAGGGACACACACCAGCAAATCAGAGAGAGAGAAAAACAAGGCACATTCAATAGGAACCAAGGAAAAGTGTCGTTAAAAGTCGGGAGGATGAGCAACAGCTGTTCTAATTTTGACACACGACACTTTCAATCAGATTTAACAGTAACTGCGCTTGGCAACCTGTTGATGACCGAAAACATAAGATCATAGATCAATCCCCTTTTCTGCGCATCAAAGTGTTTACGGGACTGAGAAGAATTTTGCAAAGGACTCGACTCAAATCCCGTAAAAAATAAAATAATGGTAATGGATTGAAACTAAATATTAGATCTTCGTAATAGGCCAGTGTTAAGTAATAATTAGTAAAGTTATATGAAAAACAATCTAAAAACAATTTAAAAACTCAGTTATGAAGTTCTATAATGTCTAACAGCTAGAACTATAGAGTTTTAACTGGCCCTTTTCAGGCGTTACAATGTGGAGGAAACCCGGAAAACTCCACATGGCCAGCACATTTGTCAAGGCGCGAACCCACGACCGAACTCCCAGTGTTCAGGGAACGGAACCGTTTAGCCACTGGTGGGCCCCCAAGAAGGCTCCTATCCCCGGTTCCTATCAGAAGCTTTCTACTTCCCAACAATTAACATAAGCAGCAGTTTTTTTAGTATAGTACTTGTCACTGTAAATAATCAGAAAATATTGACTTACCTTATTTTCTATCAAAATATACAAAAATCCAGTTATAATCATGAAATTAATAAAACAAAAATGTCTCATTGTAAGGACATTGTTAGCTTCTCTTCATTACGCATCTATTATTACAACGAGATGTCGCGTGACGTCATTTTGAATTAATTTGCTTATATATTAAAATTATAAATATATTTTTATGACGATGATGATTTACTTATTTCATTAATTAATTAAAATTTATTATAAGGTATTTTCCAATTTAACATTTACTATAATTATATTCCCTATTTGATTGGTATTTAACCAGATCTTGTTTTTTTTTCTTTAATTATTTCATTTACAAATTAAAATTCATTTAAACTTCATTATAAAACTGTACAGTATTTGTGTATTCTAAAATGTAAAGATTTATTTTATTCCCTCAAGAAAAATATTGGATGGAATTACCTTTAGAAATAAAAACCTAAAACTACTTTTTCATGTAAAATTTTTGCAATACTGTACTACACATTAAATTTTTTTGATTACTGCAGAAAATTTAGATTTCATTTGTTACTGATTATTCTACTAAATCATAAATTATAATGCATTTATATGCATTTAAAATAAAGATTGTATTGTTTTCAATAAATGTAGTCTCAGTTCTGAGACGAATACATTAGATATCAGCAGATGATTATTTTTTCCAAATGCAGGGGTCCCAATAAACCTGCTCCATATAAATGTTTTCTGGAATTCTAGAATTGTGTGCAGACATCTATGTAAGTTTCTAATGATATCTGATTTGATTCTTGCTCTCCAAATATTTGTATTTGGAGAGCAAGAAACTACAAAAGAGTAGAAACTACAAAAGAGGTCTAGACTAGGGTTGCCAGATACTTGGGGATAAAATGAGTTCTTCCCAGAAGATACCTGGTCATTTGGAAAGAGTAATAGATGTGTATTTTTACTCTACCAGTTTCAGAAATACATCTAAAATGTGGAAAAAGAAAGACATTTCATTGTAGGAAAAGTTTAGAATAAAGTAGATGGCATTCAGGACAATCCCAGAAAACCAGGACATCTATCAACCCTAGTCTAGGCTAGGTTAGGCTGAGATGTCTTATTCATGCAGTGTCCTTATGACTTTAGCTGAAAAGAACAGAGCATTATCACAGGGCCAGACTGGCTATCTGGCAATTCTAGGAAGCCAATGCCCTCTGAGACCAGTTAATATGGAGATGGAGTTATATAAGATGTGCATAATTTTGGAAATCCATTAGAAATGTCTTTTGTAAAAATTTTAAGCATAATATTAACAGAATACATTATAAATGATTAGGTTAATTAAAATATATTTTAATAATTATATATTGTTCTTCAATTAATGGTAAAAATAACATTTGTATTTTAGAACATCAGTTTTTAATATCAAACTAAGCAGTAAATTAACAATTTCTCTATTGTAATATAGAAAATATTACAACAGAGAAATAGAGAAAAAATTTTTACAGATTGAATTTAAAACTTTAAATTATAGCATTAGTTTTAGTGAAAATATTTTATAAAATTAAAAGTTTTTATCAAATTAGCTTAAATAGTAATTAATATATAAGTAAACATTCCTGCTGTATTAACAGTTGTGTTTATTCTCTAACAGTCAGTACCAGTTAGTGTTGTTTATATTAATGTAATAGGATCAACTTTGGATAGACTCTTATCTGAATGCTTTTACTCAACTTTAATATTTATTAAAGTACAAATAGATTACATCAATGAAATCTACATAAGTCAAAAATTTTTTATAACGATCCAACAAAATAAAGGTAAGGCAAACTTGCTATATATAACAATGAATTTAGGCACTTTTTGGAAGCACTCGTACATATTTAAACACATTGGTATTTGTGACATATGATTTAAGGCACTTCTTGGTGCAAGATTCATTATATTTAAAATATGTATTTATCATGTTAAATTGCATTGATGACACTGGAATGCAGCACTTTTTCCCCATTATAGGAATGGATATTAATTTCGACAATGTCCTGTATTTCAGGAAGCTTAATTCATTAAAAAATTTTTTATTAATTCTTTTTTTTTTTTCTTAATATCTCTCAATTAGAAATACAGGAATTTAATAAATGAATAATGTAAAAAGGAAAGACTTTAGCACCAATATATATTAAGACAATGAAAACTGACAAGGTTTTTAGTCTTCACTCTTCTTGTTGTTAGTCTTGTTCCATTTCACATCTGTTGTATTATATCATACTTGTGTCTTAGATCCATTTGTATTTTCTTTGGATCGCGCTTTTTACGGGAAGCCAGCAGTTGACGCATTTCTGACACACTCATATTCAAATTTAGTTCATCTGTTGCAGAATTCTTTGGACCGATAGGACCATTTGCCCCATTCTGACTGTGTGAACTTTTGCTAGAATGTGGTGATGCCGGCAACGAGTCGACTTCATTCGAAACATCACTTTTTGGTAGCGTTTGGGGTGTCGAACTACGAGAACTGGTTTGCTAATTAAGAAAAACAAGAAGCTTTAGTTATAAATGAAAACCACTCGAAATATGAGTACAATTTATATAATGCATAAAGAGGTTAAGTATTTATTTTAGTGTGTCATTTATATGGTACTAAAATAACTGCTGGTACCTTTATGTTTTTGACTGTTCTAATTTTTTTAATTAAAATTTGTCATATTAGAAGTATGTTTCTAAATACTGAAATAATGTATGTTGATTATATATCTACTTATTGATAAGAACCTCCCTTTTCTAAAGTTCAAGAACAGAACAGTCATTGATGCCATTTAATAAAATCATATGATACTAAATTATCAGAAACAAAAGTGTGATTCTACAGATGATTACTATAGAATCTATCTAATACATATCAAAAAAGATAGTTCTGAAAAGAATTTTCAACTTTCTGACTATTCCTGAATATTCCTGAATATACAATTTATATTTTCCTACTCCATAACAAAAAGAATGTTGTATAGTTCTCATCAACATAATATACATTAAGTAATAAATTGTGAAGTAAATATATAAAACTTTAACTATCAGTTAAATTAAGCAATATTAGAAGTATATAATTTGAAGAAATATATAATTACTTTTCTGTTTCTTAAACACATTATATATCAATATATAATGTGTTTAAGAAACATAAAAGTAATAACTGCTAAAATATTCACCTGTTAGATAGAGGTCAGTGTACCATAGCTGTGTCCTCATTGTGCAATGATTCATAAAATAATATCGATAAATCAAAAAATGATATATTATGTCACTTGATTGGAATTTTTTTGCTTGAAGATTTCAAACCGCAGTTAAAAATCATTTTAAAATTTTTTAAAGGATGAGCCCTAATAAATCAGGTTTATCCTGCATTCCAAACTTTTTTAGAATGTGAAAGATTTATTATCTAAAAGAAATTCTAGTTATTTTTAAAAAATTTCCTTATATTAATATGTTATTGAAGTTTAAAATATTTTTCCTAAAAAACAAGACTAAAAATTCTGCAATCTAGGTTTGATATATCTAGAAGCTGATAAGCAACAAAAACAAATTAAAATTTCTAGCAAAATCATTCGTGTGTATCAGAAAACAGTTTAAAATGGAAAAAATATATTTTGACAATAGTGGAAAACATTATTTATTGAAATAATAATTACTTAAAAATTCAGCACAACTGTAATGAAAAGATATTTTAACTGATTAAAACGTGAGTGATGAAAGAACCCCGTATACATATCTCTTATTAATTAAATAATATGACATTGAAGTAGTGCCAGAAATCATAAATAAGAATTAGTATAAAATATATTTAAAGCTTTCTCTTTCAACAGCACATTTATTAAATTTCAAGTAGATTTATCAGTATCAATTAATTTTATAATAAACTTTACTCTTGTAGATAAACACACACTTAAATGATTAAATAAATACTAGAGAAATTTTATCTACTTATGATATAAACAATAATCTTAAAAATATATTTCAGATAGACAACAAGACTTAGATATGTTGGAAAATTAAGTGAAAAAAATTTATTTTTAACATTTTTCATACCAATAAATTGTTTAAAATGTAGAAAAATCAATATATTTAATCTAATAAGCTCATCTTCAAAAAAATGTAAAATATATTTATTTAATCATTAATATGATAGATATTTCCAACAGCTTATTAACAAAAACTGATTGGTTATAAATAGAATCATTACTGTATAATAAATGAATAGTAATAAATTAAGACCTATTGTTTATACCTAAGCAACCTGAACACAATGTTACAATTGTTTCTTTCTTTATTATATAAATTTGCAATAATAATAAATATTGCACAGTTTTAATAAATAAATTACATATATTAATATACATATTTTTGATGTTTTGTAGCATGTTACAAATAATTTTCTCAAAAAATATTTAACAATATAAATTAATCTGCCTAAAATTCATAAGAAATGCAATTAAACAGTAAACTTTTTTTGGAGCCTGAAAACTGTTGTACTAGTATTTTGAATGAGCAATGTTCATACTAAGGAATGCTAAATGAAAAGTGTTGTGGTAAAAAAAATATATACAAATTTAAAAAATAGAAGATTGTAATACAAAATTTTCTTTTTGTGAATTAATAGTATGAGAATAATAAATAGTAATTAATAAAAAGTTCTTATCTTTAGCATTTTATTTTAACTAATTGAATTATTTGCAGTTTTTGAAATCAGCCATTTTTTTCAGACTGTTAGAAAGTATAGTAAGTCCTCATTTAATGTCATCAATAGGTTCTTGGAAACTGTAATGTTAAGCAAAAAAGAGTATAATGAAAACAAATTTTACCAAAGGCTAAATAATATAAGCAAGATATAATTTAGTTATTACTATTCTAATTTTATCATGTTTGCAGCCTCTAGCATTTATTTACTATTACTGTTTAGAGAGAAAATTCAGCTACAATAATTGTAAATGATTATAGGAGGACTTGCTTTAGTTAAAAGTCTCTTCAATTAATGATCTTTTGATTGCTCTTTCTGTACATCTAAACTGATCTAAACTAATTCATCAACAATTATATATCTGTTTAAAAGATCAAAGAGCATAGGTATTCCATAGAACTGACTTTTCTATCCAAGGCTTCATGCAAAGCCAACTTTTTGCATCTACTGCCACATTTTGCTGTAGTATCTTTAATGTGTTCTTTAATTTTATTGTATATAAATCTTTTATTGTATATCCTTAGAAATTTTCTACATCTATTTTAAATAACTTAAATTTAATATTAAAAGAAATAAATTAATTTTAAATTTAGTCCTCATTTAATGAAATCAAAATGAATATTTTCTTAATAATTAATTTTCAACTTTATCAGAATGAAAAAAAATGCTTTAAGTTAATGAGAAGTAAGAATGAGGATAGAGAAAAGATTAAATAATTGTGTAAGATTACATTAATGTTAGAAGAAAAAACTGAAATATAATTTGTTTCTTTATTATAAAACAAAAAATAAGAAATAAAATTTTTTAAAAATAAATTTCCTGATCTAAAATTCATTGCAAAGTTAATTTCTTTTTTGCAGCAGTTTCAGATCTGTAATGAATTTAATTTTTAAATTGATTATTATAGTAATAACAATTACATTATCTGAGAAATATAATTTTAAAAATTATAAAGTAGTAAACTGATTTTAAGTCATTTTAAAATATTTTATTTTCTTCATCTGTCTGTTTCAATCCCATAATATAATGAATAGAAACAATACTTTTATGAGAACCATTCCCCCTGTATGTTTGATACAAACAAGGTAAAACTTATTTTTTCTAAAATATCATATTATTAATAGAAAATTTTTTATTTATGTCTTTAAAATATAACAACGAAAAGTGATAAAATTTAATTTCTTAATTCAGTTTGTATTGATTCATAATTATATAGAAGCCTGAAAGATTTAAAATCTGCAATCTGTACTGGTTATATATGTGGGACTAAGGTTTTATAAAAAGTAATGTAGAATTCCTCGAAACATAGCCCAAATTATTTTTAAAGCATCCAAAAAGTAATAGGTCTTCCAAATGTAGTAGCCTAGAGTCCTAAAAATATCTAAATCTGCTACTGGCCCAATCTCACAATCCTGAAAACCAACTATAAGAGAAAAAAAAAAAAAGTAGTCCAAGTGTAAAGTGACACCCAAAAATGTGTTCCTGTAAAAGCAAAGTCATATTGACCAGATTAGAGTTGTTCTTGGTCTATTGTTCTCTTATAGCATGAAGACACTTTGATCTAAACAAACCAGTTAATGTACTCATATCAAGGTTCAGACAGAATTTTAACTTCAAATTTCAAAGTAGCCATATTTCAAACTAACCAATTCATGAAAATTAAACATATAAATCTCTATATCCCCGGCCAGGACAAAAGTACAGTTACGAACTAACGCGATTTCGAACTATCTGAGTTTGAATTAACGAGGATTTCCTGAATTTCATAAAAGATAACTAATATTTACTAATTTTGAGCTTCTGTGCCCATAAAATGGCCCTTGCTAGTCTCTCTTCTACTTGGAGGTGAAACTAACAAGCTCTTTTATTACATCATTATTCTAATCTGTATGTTGATTAAAATCAAATGTAAACTTTATCATTTTAAAGTCATTTGCTTAATTACACTTAAGAATTTAATATTTGAATAGATTTCAAATAATAGTTGCAAGAATCTTCCTTATAAATTAGAAAAATAAATAAATAATAATCATCATTTAAATTCATCAAAAAAAGCATTTTAACAAGTCTAATAAATGAAATTTAATCATTACTATTTCTAAAAATTAAATATGAAAAATGTATTTATAACAAACTTAAGTCCAAAGTTAATACCATAAATATTGATAAACTCAATAGTTATATAAGTGAAAATAAATATCTCATTTTATTTAAACTCTATTTATTGACAGATATATAGAAAGAAATTTCAAAAATATCTTAGGTATCAAATTACAAGAATAAATCATACCTAGAATGGCAGACATTCATTTTTATTTATCTAACTGTTAGTTGGAAAGGTCAAAATTTTTATTTCAGAGACAGAAAAAAGCAAGATGTCAAGGTGATGTTACATATTGAAAATAATCAAACTGAAAAAAATGAAAACTAATAAAACTTACATCCTTGGATAATAACTTTAAAATACTGTATAAATTAAATTAAATTTTTAAAACTTATATTTCAATAGGAAAACTTTCTGAAGTATACAAAATCTATTTAGTGAATTTGTAACTAAGTTTTGTAGATAAAACAGTTTTAATATGAAACATTTAAACCTCTATGTAAATTATTCACAAATTAAAATTAAATTATTATTGACATTTCAAAAATTATTAAGAAATCAACTTGAAACTATCTAAAAAGACAATGAATCTTAGATGCAAACTCATCATGACATCTAATTCTTTTGCAACATAAAACAATTAGATGTCATGATGTAAATAAATTTCAATATAAACAAATATGTACAATTTTTAAGAATAAATTTCAAATAAAATTTCAATATGTACAGTTTTTGGAAACAACATTTAACCTTAAAGTTCTCTCTTCTTCTAAATCCTGGTCCAAAAACTATTTGAATGATTAAGTTTACAGAGCATAAAAACAACTTTTATAGCATTTTGTTGCAAATTTTATGCTTATTTCAGATCATCTTTGTATATAGCAGACTAACACAAAGATAACTTTTCTCTGTTTTAATTTTATTGATTTTAATTATTTCTAAAATAAATAAATTTATAATCATTTTCAAAATAAAATTACTGCTCAAGTCAATTTTCTAATCTGCTAATTAGCAGTTCCTGGTTCTGTATTTTAAAAACAAATAATATAAAAACCTATAATTGGTGCTCAATTAACTAGTTTATCTCCATAAAAATCGATCAGTAGTAATCTTCTAATATTTATTTCTGATTCTATCATGAATCAATTCAATTTTAATCTGTCTTTGAATGGTGATTAGCAACAGCTATTATGTAAATTAGTTTTTTTATTAATACATTTGCTCAATGCTTAGAAATTACTTGCTAATGAAATACAGTTTTCATTGTCTAAATTATATTGCACAATGGTAATTATCAATATTTCTAATTTAATTGTAAAACTTAACATGTAAAAGTTTAAATACTTTTCTTTTTAAATAAGAAAAAGAAAAAATAGGTTGCACAGCGGCACACTCGAGATTTAATATCAGGGAAGCCAAGTCAAACAGATAAAAGAAATTTTCTGTGCACATTCCCTCACACGATTGCTAATTCATAAGTAACATAGCAATAGAAGACACCATTGAAAAGAGATTAGAAAATTTAGTAGTTTTTTCTTTTTATTTTGGGGGTGCCAGGTAGGGTGACAGATGTCCCCGGTTTTGCCTGTTTTTAATACTTGATTGTAGAATCAATCTTTGAATAGAACAATTTATTAACACTCCAATATAACAGCACCAATTTATAAATCAATAAATAAAAAAAAATAAATTTTTTAAAAAGTCGCCAAAATTCAATAAGTTTTAGACCCATTTTCGAAGTGTATCCTCAGTTGGTTTGTTTGTTTATTAAGTTACAGCAACACAACACTAGGGCGATCTGCCTAGGCAGATGTCTTCCAGGCGGGAGGTCNAAATAAATAAATTTATAATCATTTTCAAAATAAAATTACTGCTCAAGTCAATTTTCTAATCTGCTAATTAGCAGTTCCTGGTTCTGTATTTTAAAAACAAATAATATAAAAACCTATAATTGGTGCTCAATTAACTAGTTTATCTCCATAAAAATCGATCAGTAGTAATCTTCTAATATTTATTTCTGATTCTATCATGAATCAATTCAATTTTAATCTGTCTTTGAATGGTGATTAGCAACAGCTATTATGTAAATTAGTTTTTTTATTAATACATTTGCTCAATGCTTAGAAATTACTTGCTAATGAAATACAGTTTTCATTGTCTAAATTATATTGCACAATGGTAATTATCAATATTTCTAATTTAATTGTAAAACTTAACATGTAAAAGTTTAAATACTTTTCTTTTTAAATAAGAAAAAGAAAAAATAGGTTGCACAGCGGCACACTCGAGATTTAATATCAGGGAAGCCAAGTCAAACAGATAAAAGAAATTTTCTGTGCACATTCCCTCACACGATTGCTAATTCATAAGTAACATAGCAATAGAAGACACCATTGAAAAGAGATTAGAAAATTTAGTAGTTTTTTCTTTTTATTTTGGGGGTGCCAGGTAGGGTGACAGATGTCCCCGGTTTTGCCTGTTTTTAATACTTGATTGTAGAATCAATCTTTGAATAGAACAATTTATTAACACTCCAATATAACAGCACCAATTTATAAATCAATAAATAAAAAAAAATAAATTTTTTAAAAAGTCGCCAAAATTCAATAAGTTTTAGACCCATTTTCGAAGTGTATCCTCAGTTGGTTTGTTTGTTTATTAAGTTACAGCAACACAACACTAGGGCGATCTGCCTAGGCAGATGTCTTCCAGGCGGGAGGTCTTTTTAAGGGTAACAGGCCCCTATTCGGGCCTTTACAGGTGTGGAGAAAACCCCACGTGGCCAAAACCATCCTGGCCAGGCACGAACCCATGACCGAACTCCCAGCATTTGGGGAACAGAACCAGTCAGCCACCGGCAGGTCAGCCCCCTCTAGGTGTGCCACCGAGGACACAAATACATTAAATTTGTTGCAATACACCAATATCACATAACAACTCAAGTGTAATGTGTGTATGTACAGTATACCTACAGCACAAACAGAAAAAACATCACAGATTAAAATAAATACATGAAAAATGAATAACTTACAGGTGAGGGTGATCCAGCTGAAGTAGAAGATTCTCCATTGTATCTTGCATTTTCAACAGGGCTTTCATGGACTACAGCAGAACTCTGCTTAATATTTGAGCTATTCGTTGTGGGTACTGGACTATCTTTCCTCACCTGTGCCTCTTGCTTAATGTTAGAATCTGGCCGTGGAAAGGGTGTTTTTCTGTATATTACATTGGATTGTGTACTTTTGACTACGATTTTCCTATCTTTGTACCATTTGTCGGACTCCACCTCGAGTACTAGTAACTTGGTTTCGTTAGGCACGGCTTTGATTCTCTCCACCACTTGCCGATGGTTTTCGTTGTTGATGTTGACTCCGTTCACTTCGATGATTCGATCGCCTTCTTTCAAGCCCGATAAATCGGCCGGGCTTCCTTCGTCTACTTTACCTACATACTGACCGGGTTTGGACTTCTCCGCGTGTAAATTAAAACCGTATCCGTCGAAATCTGGCCATTTAATTAGATGGCAAAGACGAGGCGCTGGAGCGTCCGGTGGTAGCTCGACGGCAGACATTTGCTTTTGTAATGACGTCGACAAGCAGACGAAACAATCACCTTCCCCGACCTTGAAGTGCGGAGTGATTATTCAGTCTCGGCGTTTTTCATTGGTTATTTTTTTTTCTTTCGAAAGTTAATAATAGCGTATTTATTAAATGAAATTAAACGTCTGCTTAATTAAAACTCGTTGAAAACTGTTAATATTAAGGAAAATAGATTATTATTATTATTATACAAAATTGTGTTTATACGCCGACGATGACGTTAAAATTTTAATCACGTGATTTCAATTTATTAATTTCGCAATAAAAAACTTGTCAAAATAAAACTCAAACTAATTTAATTCTTAAACAAAACTGTTAATAAAAATAATGTATAAATTGTTTTGAGATTTAAAATGGTTCTTATGGACCTTTTTTTTTTGTATTTTTATTTGTTAAACTATAATATTTCTTATTATTACCTTTAATGCGTTATTATTGTCATGTGACTTTGCATAACGCTATTATTATTATTATTATTATTATTATTATTATTATTATTATATTTTAAATACCGTATTTAAAATAAAAAACAATCATAAAGATATTTTAAATATTTTATTATTTATTTTGTTATCGCAAGCGATAATTATTTTTAAAATTTTAACGAAAATTTAAATACTTCCGGAAACTTCGGCAGACGATTTTTAAAATTACATAACGTAAAAGTTATTGAAATTTTGAATAAATGGGAAAGCAGAGAACTAATTTAAAAAATAATTTTATTTTATTTTATTTTATTTTTATAAAAACAATAAAATAACTCTTACAGTATTTAATAAAACAAAAAAAAAAACAAAAAAATTATGTAAAAATCACGTGAATTATTTTAAAAATTATTTAAAGTTTAAAAATAAATTAACGAAATTAAATTAATATTCAGTATCCAAAAGTTAGTAATAAAATAAGTTATTAAGTTTATTTTAATTTAATAATACATAGGTCATACAGTTTGACATGAAACCGGAAAAAATCGTGACAGTCAGCATTGCTTGGGAATAACGTTTTAATCATTAATCATTTCCTATAGACTAATAGAATTCCCTATAGAATCAGAAAGCTTTAACAGTGAAATGAATAATATTACTTTCGTATTCGTGACTAATTGCTATAAATATAATTAAATTCTCAATTGCGAAACATTGATTAACACGTGGCCTGTATGTACTTCTAGATAATATTTCTGTAAAATTCTAGCATGGTATTGCCATTGACGAAAATTGTTGTATAGAATTACAGATATGTTACAGATTTCTCTGACATTTCTGTAGTTAAGATGTAATTTAATAAAAACAAATTAATTAAATAAATGTTTATCGGTGGCATTTTCAGATATTCGAATCTCCATGCATGCGTGAAGTTACAAAGTCCTTTTAAAAAATTTATATAGCCTAATAATATAAAGCTATTACTTGAAATTGTCTTCTTCTACAATATTAAGTGTCAATTGTAAATTTGTATAATCTAGAAGATATAGAAGAATATACAAGTCGACACCCCTATAACACTGTTGATTATTCCGTTTTATATGAATTCCGTGTTGTACGAGTCACTTAGATTTTACAAATACGTGAGCCGTTCACAGCCCAACACACGTATTTGTAAAATCTAAGTGACTCGTACAACATAGAATTCATATAAAACGGAATAATCAACAGTGTTATAGGGGGTCGACTGTAGTATTGGATTCCAAGTACTGTATCCAGAGCCGGATTTAGACTTGTGGCTCTAAGTTACAACATATAAGTCAATTTCCTTTTCATTATATAATAATAAATTTAAAAGCCTGTGGAATCTAAGCTGAAGTCTTTTAGTTGAGGCCTTAACAACTTATGTATCTTGGTTATTTTACGTGTAAATCCAGCCTTGACTGGATCAAAATTGAGTATTAAGGCGCATCTGAGGTCCTTTAGAAAATCCTAATTGACATACAACTTAGTACTGCTGTTTGTGTTATCTTTTAAACAGTGTATTATAAATCTATACGATTTAATCTATTCTATAAATGCGGTAAGCTTTGAAACTATATATAAAATAAATTAAAATTTATTCATTAACATTCAAGTGGTTCTTCAATATCTCGGATAAAGTTACCATAGATCTAACCGAAACATTCTGAATCACAAATTTTAGATATAATAAAATTGACTTTGTAGATTCGAAATTAACGAATTTTTTTTCTAAATTTCTACAAAACTAAATATATTTTAGTTCTGATTTAATTGATTATTATAATAACAAAGGCCTGAAAGATGAGAGATAGGGCCTCGACCACTTATAAAAGCGGGGCCCTAAAAAATATATGAATATGAAAGGCCAACCTGGCCACAGNCTGATTTAATTGATTATTATAATAACAAAGGCCTGAAAGATGAGAGATAGGGCCTCGACCACTTATAAAAGCGGGGCCCTAAAAAATATATGAATATGAAAGGCCAACCTGGCCACAGTATCTTTTGAGAAAATAAATAAAAAATAAATAAATTCAATAAAAGAAATGAAAAACAGATTTTTTACTACTTAATGTATATGACTTTCATCTATATTTTATTTTATTTTTTTCAATATGAAAGATTCAATTTTGGTGCTGTTCTGTATTTGTCTAAGCCAAATAGTCTACTGGCCTCTCCCTCTATTTATGCCTGCGTAGATTTTATACATTATTATATAAATTTAATTTATAGTCAAATATTTAATTACAATTACATTTAATTTAAATAGATAAAATAGGAGAAAAATTAGCCTACAATTCGCAAATCATAGATAGTCTGAACAACAACTTGTTAATTAATTTTAATATAATTTTAAATTCAATAATAACAAAAATATTAGTAATTTTTCATTCATTCAGTAATAAGCGATGGCATTTTGTACTCATTTATCATCATTTATATAATCTTTTTATTACTTTAATAAGATTTAAAGTGTCATCAGCTAGAGATAAGACAAGAATAAAAAAAGAAAAAGAACGAAAAAAAAAGAAACACTGGCACTCCCACTTTTAATTTAATGAGATTAAATACACTAAGTTTTAATATGTAACAAACTGTTGACAGTTAACCTGTTAACGTATATAATACATTAGAGAAGTGAAACGATGCAGGAATAAGTGCATTAAGCATTTATTCTTTCATTTCTTTCCCACTTATTCCTTCTAAAAATTTAACATTAAAATTGCTACTAATTTAATATTTTAATCTTAAATTTTTATTATTTTAAATGTTCTTTTTATTATTTTTTTAACATTATTTCTCTGTATTTTGTATTTCAAAACACGCAAACGCACCATTGGATGTAGACTGTAATTGAAATGACAATTACTGCTTTGTAATATCGAACAAAAGCTTAAAATAATTTGAATAAAGATAAAAATAAAATTCGTTTTATTATATCTGTNTTTTTAACATTATTTCTCTGTATTTTGTATTTCAAAACACGCAAACGCGCCATTGGATGTAGACTGTAATTGAAATGACAATTACTGCTTTGTAATATCGAACAAAAGCTTAAAATAATTTGAATAAAGATAAAAATAAAATTCGTTTTATTACATCTGTTTATATTGAATATTTCCTGATATAACGTCATCTTTTGATCGTACACGCGATGATTAATCATTAAATGTAAAAGTGGTGCACTGTTTGGATATTTATCTACATGAAAAAATTTAAGAATATACTGAAGAAAAGCAAAATAAATGCATGAAATTAGATACATAAAGTTAGATTTGCATTTAAAGGAAATAAATAAAAGAAAGGCGAAAATATCTAACTGGAATAATAATAAGAATATTAATGTTTAGAAGTTTAGGTTTGATTCAATTAAATTATAGACCTACTGTTTGACCAGAAAGCGCTTTTAAAAACTATGATGTTATAATTTTATGAAGGATAAAAAAAAACAAGATATGATGTCTAATTATAAAAATTTTAAAGTGATAGAGTATGTAGATTAAAAGTTTTATATATAAATACATAAATGCACATATGACAAAGGCATGGTTGGTTTATTTATATTTATACATAGAGATATGAAAGATCTGAAAAAGGTCTCATTTATCTTTGTGGAAAGTTTTGCAGTATTAATAAGCACGTATTCAGTTAATATTTTCCATACACTGATAAGACAATATCGAAAGAGAAGTAGATAAAAAGTAATTTAATTTAAAAAATGAAAATATATTTAGGATACTTTGAAAAATTTCCGTAAAATTTTCTCTTTTATCTTTCTTAATTTTTTAAAAGTTTTACCACTAAAATTCTCTTTATTTTGCTTTTTATTCGAAGTAGTAATTTATAGAAATAAACCTATAGTTCATTGACTTTCAGGAAGCACTTGATAAGATAAAATGGTGTAATTTGTGTTAAAGTAACAAACTGGAAGCAATAAAAATGAATGCAATAAATTGAAAGGATTCAATACTCCTATACTTGTATAGAATGTGATGTAACTTTGGAATTTAAAATATAGAGTGATACTATAAAATTGTTACATTTTTAACAATATTAACTTAATGTTTATTTAGAAATTGCGAGAATAAAAAGCAGTGCAGAGATAAAATAACGATAGAAAGTAAGAAAAAACAGGATGTGTAATGTTTGCAGGAGATACAGATCTATCATTTCGATACTAGAAATGTAGTAAAACTGAAGATATTAGTTCTACTAGCGTGAAGTTGTCGACCTTATTATGTGAATATATAAACGCGGTAACGTCTCAAGCCAAGTATATTTGGAAACTTTACACAGAAAATATACTGTTTCATTCTGTTGAGAGCATAAAAGTCGGCTTAATATCGCTTAATTAATTAGTATTTATTAATTCTTTCCTATCTGCGGGCACTAAAAGGGTCTTTTTAGCAAGCCAATTGTGAGTTTGGCAAGGCCCTAATAGGGCAACCAGGTGGTGAGAGACGGAGCTCGACATATTCGGACAAACCACGCTCGAAAAATTCCTGGATTCTTTTTGACTCGTTCAGATCGATCCAGAATCCTTCAAATCGGATGGCTGCCATCTTAATTAATTTATTTATTGAAATGCATAAAAAATTACAATT